CTCTCTCTCTCTCTCACACACGGTCTCTCTGCCACTATCTCTCGGACCACTGAGGAGGTGTTCTCTACCTACCTTGTAGGTAGCTGATCAATGTTATAAAAATATATATTTACATGGACACATTATGATGATTCCGATCCTAAAAGAATATATGTTCTTAGTCAGTATCAATAGCCAAGTCGATCTAGAGAAATCCATCTGTCTGTCCGGTCTGGACTAGAGTCTTGAAATTTTGAAATAAGTTAGAAGCCAATCGGAGAAAAACTTAAAGTTTTGCTCAAAAAGGAGGGTTGGAGAGTTAGATTTTACGCAAATTGTGAAACATATCTCAAGTTATCCCGACAGTTCACACACCAAATCTTTGCCACATTTTTACTAAGTAGCGATGAATTTTTCGAAAATTTTAAAATAAACAGAGATCTTTGAAAATGAGTTTGAGGTCAATCGGATGGTAAAGAAAAAGTTGTATAAAATTATTTCCTACGATTTTTCCACATTTGTGTGTGGAATTACCTAAAATCCCGTCTTATCGGAAATTCCTTGTTCTGTGACATACATTAGCCAAAAATCAATAAGCGCTTTTTCAATGAGTACAAAGTATATAAAAAACCAAATACCGTTCCATTTGCTATTCGCCCACGCATTGAAGAAAAGATCTCGGGCTCGCGATACAGCTTGGGACTGATTGTTCTTCTCTAGAGGCTCGGCGTGCGGTTGATACTCAACAACAAAATGGGAGCAAGATATACTGGGGCGCCTATACGGCAAAAAAAACCGTCAACCACTTTTTGTTGATTTGACGACTCTATGCATTGGATACTTAGTGATTGTAGGCTAATGTTATCTACCCGATCGGAGCAAATTGGTAACTTGTTTTTTTGATTTAATTAATTTATTATTATTATTAATTATAGATTTGCGTGATAAATAAAATGCCTGTGTTTTTATTCCATATGTTTTTACCATTGTTAATAATTATTAATTAAATAAAATTAAAAACTATTCACATTTTGTTCAAAAATATTGATAGTGAAATCAAAATCAGCTGCAGGAACGTACCGAACTTTGGCAAAATCGAAAAAATGATGAAGTGATGTCATACCGCAATATAATTTTCAACCCATCTGCATACTGGTTGAAGAAAGAGAACGCATAATAAATTTAAAAAAAAAAACACTATACCAGTTCCATTATACGCATACTGAGTGCATGTGCAGAAGATTGAAAAAGATAATGTTTACCAAAATGTTGTTTATTTATTATTATTATCAGTTAAATGTCGTCACATTTTAAAAAAGGATTTTTGGTATAACCAAAAACAAAATAACTACTTAGATGAGTAACCTCCATACAAAATTTGTTCTGTGGCTTTTCAAGTGAATTTACGCTCTTCAAAATCCAGCCGAGTGGCTTTTCGCGAATGTTTAATATGAAAAATATTATATATATTAGATACAATTACTTAATTGTAAAGGCAAAGTTTAAAATAAAATAATTTTAAATGACATAGCCCGCATGCATGCAGTAGCTCACGTAAATTGGGGTTTCTTTTATTTTTGCACAGTGTATGCTAGAGAGAAGACCCTGTCCCAGCTAATGGCGTGCAAGCACCTACGTTTAAGTGTGTGAATTGTGCATGTATAATTGCATTAATATATGTATGGGTTATTATTCACTGCTTTGACTTTGGCTGCCGAAAAACCTTATTTTGCTAGTTTTCTTGCTCAAACCATGACCCATCCCTAGTTTGTATTTAAATAGCTTGTGTGCTAAGGTTGGGCCGGTGTAAAATCAGCATCTTTTAAGCCCGTGACAATATTTAAATAAACATTTTAAATTAAATTAATAATAATATTATTAAAATTCAAGTATCAGTTAATATAACCTTTGTGTCGACTCAAAATATTCCCCCAAGGACCAACACGAGGAAGTCATCATGATGTTCCTCTGCGATACTCTTCTTAGTATTTATATTATCCTTGGTATAGCCATAAGCCAGGCAACGATAAATAAGCATGAGTCCTAGCTTCGAAAAAAAATCTAAATAGATTTATTTCTTACAATGCTTTTCACAAAGTAAGTTTTGAACTACTTTAAAATGTATTTGCTGGTACATCAAAAACATTCATTGCATTTATATATAGTGCATTCCGTTTGGCATGATGATATATCGCGTTAATGGTAAATCTTTGGCAGCCGTCGTTTCCAGTTAAACGATAACTAATCAAATTCGAAATAAAGCCGAATGATTAATGTTTGTACGTTCATGTATGTAGATGTATATAATCTACCAATATTAACCCCAGCATTAGCAAAGACTTGCGTGACAAAATTAAAGTCGAGCAAGTCAGTAACTCCAATAGAATCTATATTAAAGTACGGCAACAACAACGTAACGAAGTTTTTTTCAACGGGCCAACAATGAACCTGGAAGATACATTGCAAACAGTGGATGCAGGGATGGATTTGCTGGCTGCTATAAAGTTTTTGCTGGAATTTAAAAGTGGCTAATTGGCAAACCGGTAACTTAATCAGCACAGAACTCATACAAAGATGTCCAGCAACTAGCCCGTCAATTAAACTACAAGGTAGAAGCGCGTGTGATTCAATTTAAATAAGCCCCACAAGTCACAAAGCATTTGCTGCTTTTGACGTTTGCTCACTCAAAAAAGTTTCCCATATATCCCAAATGGGAGAGTGTACAGCATTGCATATAATTTTCGCTAAAGTTCAGTTCAGTTCGTAGTTAAATAATAAGTTCAGTGTTATTGTCTCTGTTCGCAGGCCCACAACACAAAGAAAAATACAATATGCAACATAATTAGTAACAGGCAGTAGATTTGCCTTGTTGTCGCTTTAAGTGTTGCCTGCATTTGCTATTTAACGCCCACAGGCAGAAAAGTTGACAAGGGATAGGCAATACGTTGCAACGTCTCGAGGGTGCATCATTTCCGCTTTTAAATTTTGATTCCGAGAAAATGCTTGCTTTTACCGAGAAACATGGTGCCAAGCCATGGTATGGCATATGTTTACATATTTTTACGTATGGGACACGCATATTTCAGAGCTTACATCAAAAGTTAATGAAATTATGAATAGTGATTAAGGCTTGGACAATTGTCGCAATAAACTGGTTTCGCCCCGCCCCTAAAGTCGAAACGTTATCCAAAATATTTATATACCGAAAATTTACAAAAACAAAACAAGTTTTTTCTTTTTATTTTCGCATGTGTAGCTGCGATGTTGTGAATGCTCAACCAAAAATTTGCATGACAGTTAAATGTCCGTGAATAGTCGATGGGCCATCAATTACATCTGGCCTGATATTATGAGCAGCCGCTCAGCAGAAGGCGGATGTGAAAGAAATCATCAAAAATAGTCAACCAAAACGAAATGAAACTAAAATTGTCTGCCAGACGCTAAAGTAAAAGTATATATTAGCTATGTATACATATACATATATGCTCCTAGGCACTGCATACTTGAAATACATTTATCTGTATACATACACGACGAGTAAGCATATTGTTGTTGGCAAAAATCTTTAATATGCACGCTAGGTGTTCAGTACGAGATACAGATAATTACGGCAAATTCAATTTGATTTTTGAGGAGGAATGAAGTTCGAAAGTTTTTAATGGGGCAATGCGTTTGTTAGTTATACAAAACAATTTGTTATATAAGACAGCAAATATTATAGCCGAAAGCAATCAACATAAATATTACCAAATGATTTGATAACGCGATATTCTAAAGAGCGCCGAATACTAAATACACTTGCGGATATATAGTAGATGTCCGCTTTATTTTAATTCTTAGAATTTTGTCAATACAAAAACTAGATTTTATAGCTATAACTGTAGCATATATCATATGTCATTATTGTCATTAAAAAATAGTTGTAAATATTTTTCAGATATGGAAAAAAAAAGAAGAAGAACTTAAAAGTCGAATTAAAGTTTATGATACAAAATACACCTAGATTTTAATTACCGATATAATTTACCCATACGAGAGGTAAGCTGGCAAGCATCTAGAAAATTGAAATACAAAAGGTTAACAGCAGGACTGACTGGCTTTAAGCCATGGGCTATAGAACGGCATGTTTTTTATATAACGCACAACTCTTCGCCATCTGATTGGCACGGAAGAGTGAGAGAAAGAATGACCAGTAGCCGCCCGAGTTGACTACTTTGAAGAACCCCAAAAACTACCAATAGACATTTCAAAAAAAAAAAAACTTTGATAAAGTCCATGACTAACTAAGACTAATGAGAAAATATAAATGCATCAATTGCTTTAGTTTCAGGAGAAAAACATGTTTGAAGTGGTAGAAGATGGTTTCATATATATATATATATATATATATATATATATATATATATATATATATATCCATTTAGAGAGCCAGCTGAGTTAGACACAGCTAGGTGATTCTTGCTGTTAATTATGCAATCAAATCGAAGGAAAAAACCACAAAAATACTTTTGGAAACAAGTTTAACAACGAAAATTAATGCAGAATGAAATCGAAATCACAATTTAACAGAAATAAGTGTACACAACGATATATACATATAAGTGGATGACTGAAGATGCTGGCTACAGAAAACCTGTTGTAGAACTTTTCGATCTTTTTGTGGTTTGGTTTTTTGGCAAGAGATATACAAATTGCGATATAGAAATGCGTGGTGAATATATCAAGTGGTGACAACGTGAACGACTTCCTCGAATAGCTTGGTTTTATACTGCGGTTGGCATTTTCAGCACTGCCCTTGGGATGGCGCCGCGGCAACAACTTTCGCCTGGCGGACTTTCAAGGTTGTTGGGGCGATAATCCTGTTGAACACATAACCATCACGCAGAAAATACACGGCTCAACGCAAGCTCAATGGAATGTTGCTAAACGAAAAGCAACAAGTTTTCGATATGACGAAAGATTTGCGGCAATTGCCCACAAAATGAACAAAATGATTTGTGCCAAACACTTTGAAAACTTACCGGAAGCATTTTGGCGGCGAGGCTTTTATGGTCAACGTTTTATTGTGCTGGTATGCAGTTGAATATTTTCTACTGCTTTTGACGATGTCGTTTATGTTGTAATTATTGTGTGGTGATGTTGGTATTCGGTTAAACGCATTCAACGGGTGGCCTTCTTATTTAACGGCGACGACAGCAAAAGATTTTCCTTGATTATTAAATTTTATGTGATACGAAAATATTTTAAAAATGTATGCTAAAAGTGGGTCAAGTAAGTTATTGCTGTTTTAGTAATTGCTGTTCACGATGATTTTCTTCTTCTTTGGCTGCTACAGAAACTTGGTACAATCTGTAACGCCTGCGCAGATCTGCGAAGTTTTATGCTCTGCTGCCCAGTAGCAGCAACAACAACGGGAACAACGACTGAAACAGCAACAACAAAAACCAGATCGAAAATAAAAACTGTTACACACGTCTGCGCATTTAGTTTTTCACTTTCGGCAGGCTGTGCTTTTACCACTATTCAGCACATTCATTTTTTCAAATACGCTTTCGCATTGGATATTATATTTTTTATCTAAATTTTGTTTTTAAATCTATACACTCAACTCAAAAAACAAAACAAAAATAATGAATGATAAAGAATTAAATATTGACAAAACAAGATGTGTTGAACATTTCCAACTTTGGTAACTGTTTCAATTTCGATTTCGTTTCGCGAGCAATCAACTAGCAAAAATACCAGTAATGTGAAAATACCGCTAAGCCAACATTACCGTTCAAGAGTCGCCGTTGCACTAAGTTCGTTTTGTACCCAAAAAGCGTAGCCCAGGCTTGAACAACCGTACTTGGCCAGTTGCTGAGAGGGGCTGCAGCAATAAGCCAACAACATGTTTTTGTACTGCGCAGCTGTGAAGCGGCGACTTTGCGACGTGGGCATAGCGCTGTTAAAAGCAGCTGTTAGCTAACAGATAAACGTTGGGCGCATTTATGTATAAAGTTTAATTCGTATTCGTAAGTTTACATGTATAGATAAACAAGTATATTATGGCGAGAAATAAAGCTGAAGTATTTTGTTATCGAATTTTTAATAATCTTGTGGCTACTTAAACTTAGAAAATCTTATGAAACATTTACAAAAATTATTATGTGGTTGTCTTTACCATATATTTAGATTTCATTGCAGCTTTGTTTCATTGGCTCATGTTTAAGGCTAATTGAACACAAATAGTAAGAGTGCTCTAGTCGAGAATGCCCGACTAGGACCGTGAGGCCAGCAACAACAAACATTCTTGCTTCCTTCCATGCATACGCACATGAACGCATGTACGTAAGCACTAACATGTGTAAGTAGCAAAAGTAGCAAAACTGAACTTTTAAAGTATCTGTTCAAACAATTTTCGAGTAATGCATAAAAGTTCATGTCTAAAATCTATATTTATCGTTTTTATGAATCTGAGAGGCGATATCTAGTAAAAATAAAAAAGTTGATCTGCATTTCGTACAAAAGATATTTCATATTTTAAACTTATAGCTAGACCGAAGCGTTCGCATGGACGGAAAGATGGTCATGATTAGATCGATATAGCTCACCGTCCTCTTCAAGAATATAGAAAATAATTCCTTCTGCCAGTTACATACACATGAATACAAACTTTAAACTCTTTTTACCCATTTGGTGTTAAGGTCCTTGTAAGTAATTAGCAAATTTATGATTTAGGAACAAAAATGTTTTTAGAAGCAGTTTGAATGTTTGCGAAACAATCGAAGCCTGCAAAGTGTTCCAATTCACCGCCCTCTGAAACATTAATTTACTGCATGCATTATTAAAAAGATCTAAATCCTGTTGTATCATAAAAACACATAAATAAGAAACTTGGCAAACAGACATACCGACATGGCTTTATGGACTAGGCTGTTGACACGGGTCAAGAATACAAATAAGAATATATAGAAAAGGTTGGTAGAATTTTAAATACCATTGCATGGGTATAAGAACGAATAAATTTAATTTCAAAGCAAAGCAGTATATACTGCTTTATTCAGAATACTATGTCACAAAATTATACTCTTTTTCCGATAAGGCCGAACTTTTTTGATACATTGAGGTTGCGGAATGAGGTAAATACAGCATATGTATAATTCTAAAATTTTCCTTTTCATATCATATAGTCAATCTTAGAATATTCGTATAGCTTATGATCTTTATCTCTATATATAAATCTGACTAGCTACTGAATGAAGCTTGGTGATCAGCTGAAGCAGCTGAAATTTGTACTGTAGTTACCTTATGTGATGGAAGTGAACGCTAAGACGAGACTTTGAGAAATGCCACCGGAAAGTATGGAAATATCTCATTTTCAAAGATATTTGTTAAAATCCATTTCAGCGGTATTTCACATTTTGGGAAAGTCAATCCCTCTTTGATGGAAACGGGGGTCAAAGATCTGTTGAGTGCAGTTACGGGTTTATATTAATTTCCAATAATTTGATTCTCAAAATCCGAGCTGCGCCGATGAAAATTGCGAGTCAAACATTTTTTTGGCAAAGTGGTGTCGAAGTGGCTCAGCGATTTCGGAAATTCCACCCGCAACAGTGGTAAAATTCGGGCTGCAAACGGTTGAAAGAAAGTTTTTAGTTTACCATCTGATCGGCTTCGAAATCAATTTCAAGGATCGGTGGGAAAATTGAATTGGAACGTGGCTCGCTGAGTGAAAAGTTATATCTAATCTATATGTTTTTTAATTATAAAACTTGCCACGGCTTATGTGTTCATATCATATGGTCAATTTAGGTATATTCCTCATCTGTGATCTGTGTCGAGTTCTATCCTAATACAATGCAAGCTAATGCTAGCGAGAAAATCGACAGCTTTAATTGGAAATCCATAGCTCCTAACTGACACTACGCTTTTTATGCCTAGTAAATGTGTATTTGTGTTATAGATGCTAATCTTGGAGGGATTTTTTTATATATCCACAAAAGTGGCTTAGCTGTACGAAAGTGATAGTGAACTCACCTCTCAAAAATAAGTTAAAAACGTAACAGCTAACAAAATCCTTAGAAAAAACTGGCTTGTCATTTTCATGTTCTAATTGTTAAAGAAAAGCCAGACGTCAGCATCGTATAATATAGTTAAATTGATCCTTATTGTCTCCTTAAGTATATTGATTGTCTTGTGTTTCGCGTCATTTTATAGTCTTAACTAGGTCAATTGCTACAGGTGTTGTATTTATTGTGAATCTTGTTTGACTTGCTGGTAAACGGGCTGGACTTGTCGCGCTTGGAGAGAGAAAAAGAGAAAAATAAAGAAAGAGTACATGTTTTAGGGCTTGGCCGGAACAAAAATCAATGCAGCTCTATAGCTGGTATAACTGCTGTTACTGGTTTTCGAATACTGCGGACGCGTGTGGACGACCTTTGCTACTGCTGCTGGCCACCGTCCAGTATATCAGCAAAATAAAAACCTTTACATAATAGTCATTAAATGCTGTCATCGAAATGCCGATCGCTGCGGCGGCGCGAAATGAATTTCAAATATTAGACCAAGCCATTTGGTTGTTTATGTGGCTTTTACTCTTTGTTTTTGTCTATCTCCCTCTCATCGGCCCACCTCGTAAAACTTTTTTCTTTGTATTACAGCCGAATTTCGTCTCTCTTACTCGGTTACACTCTTTCAAAACTTATTTGCGTCTTTTTTCAGCTGTGCACCTAATATATTTACTATCGACGTATGTATTTCCACAAAGTGAAAACGATTTTATTGGGTTTGTGCAATGCTCGTCTTGCTGTCTGTTCGTCAAACCGTTAATCAGTCTGCCACGCCCACACCTTCACAAATTGCGAAATTCGAAATTTTCTAGATAATTCTCTTCAATCTTACAAAAATACACTTTTCAATTGATTTCATCAGTTATTGCTGTGAACAGAGTATTCTTACATCGGTATTTACCATGGCTAAAATAACACCGGAATAATAATGATACTATCGATGGTTATACCAGACAGGTAGTACATCCGCTGCGCGTCTCTAATGTGAACGCACACATCGAACTCATCGGAAGCCAGCAGCCATATGGGTTTTGTAAGTCTAAAACTGTAACTCCAGGGCAATTACTCCCAATCGAAAATAAAATGTACTGTGTATAGTGTAAGATGGACTTTTTTAGAGACTCTAACACAACGTTGAATAGATCCAATAAGAAGGATCAATATTCATAAGCACCCGAGTTGATATAGCCATGTCCAGTAAACTGATGCAAAATAGTCTCTTAGTTTTGAAACTTACAGAAGGCGCATCTTCTTGGTGCAGCCTTGCTTTTCACCCAATAAGTTCAGATAGTATTGCGCTCCGCAAAAATATTGAAAAACAGTGACAAAATACGGACAAGTCCACCCAACAGTGGCGTTATAATACATTTAAAAGTGAATTTAACCCCAAAAAAATAAAAAACTGCGTAAATGTGCCTTATATAAAGAAAGACCCGAAAATCAAAGCTGCAAATGTGCAATATGCCCAAGTGCAGGGGCTTCCAGCCCCGCTCACTGAAGCAAGTAGATCTCCACCTGTCGACATGAATGAGGCGCACCTGTACACCCCAGAGGGATGGAGAATCTACAGCTACTACTCCAGCAACACGGCATTGTGAGCACAACAGCAACCACAACAACTACAACCACCGCGTCCTCAAGTAGCGGCTGCAGGACCGCTGCCTCCACTGGTACAAGCCGTGCAGCACTGAAACCCTTTGGAATACTCCCCATAACCAGCAATTAGGCTTTCCAGCTCACCCCGGTCGATACATATGCCGCTCAGAGCTCTTCCCCGGCAGCTGCGTCTTGCAGCGCTCTTTGCATCCAAAACCCTGCTCTGAACCCTCTAAGGAGTAATGGTAATATGCCAGCCTTCCAGGAACCGCTGGTCAAATGGCAAACGACTGAAACAAAAAACGGTGAGGAACAACGCTAAGGGCCGGTGCCGTCAAAAAAGGGGAAGTACACACAAAAACGGAAAAACCAGCAAGGCAGGTGAAAGTTACACTGCGCCCAGTGCCTCCCTGACAAATGGGAACAGATATGCTCCACTTGCGCCCCAGGAAGAAGCCTCTGACATCGAAGACGACGAGATTGGAAAATTGGAAAGGAAATTGCCGACGAAGCTCCGCTAGCTCATGCCGATTCCAAGCTGCAAAAAAGGAC